GGTTGTATGTGTGTATGGGCATGGCATGCTTGACTGTATGTGTGTATGGGCATAGCATGCCTGGCTGTGTGTGTGTATGGGCATGGTAGGCCTGGCTGTATGTGTGTATTTGGATGGGATGCCTAGCTCTATGTGTGTATGGGCATAGCATGCATGGCTGTATGCATGTATGGGCATAGCATGCATGGCTGTATGCATGTATGGGCATAGAATGCCTGGCTGTATGTGTGTATGGGCATAGCATGCCTAGTTGTATGCGTGTATGTGCATAACGTGCCTGGCTGTATGCATGTATGGGCATGGCATGCCAGGCTGTGTGTGTGTACGGGCATGGCATGCCTGACTGTATTTGTATACGGGCATAGCATGCCTGGCTGTGTGTGTGTATGGGCATGGTATGCCTGGCTGTATGTGTGTAAGGGGATGGCCTAGCTGTATGTATGTATGGGCATGGCATGCCTGGCTGTATGTGTGTATGGGCATAGCATACCTAGTTGTATGCATGTATGGGCATATCATTCATGGCTGTATGCATGTATGGGCATAGCATGCTTGGCTGTATGTGTGTATGGGCATAGCATACCTGGTTGTATGCATGTATGGGCATAGCATGCATGGCTGTATGCATGCATGGACATAGAATGCCTGGCTGTATGTGTGTATGGGCATAGCATGCCTAATTGTATGCGTGTATGTGCATAACGTGCCTAGCTGTATGCATGTATGGGCACAGCATGCCAGGCTGTACGCGTGTATGGGCATGGCATGCCAGGCTGTGTGTGTGTATGGGCATGGCATGCCTGGCTGTATGTGTGTATGGGCATAGCATGCCTAGCTGTATGTGTGTATAGGCATGGTATGCCTGGCTGTATGTGTGTATGGGGATGGCATGCCTAGTTGTATGTGTGTATGGGCATAGCATGCCTGGCTGTATGTGTGTATGGCCATAGCATACCTAGTTGTATGCATGTATGGGCATAGCATGTATGGCTGTATGCATGTATGGGTATAGCATGCCTGTGTGTGTGTGTGTATGGGCATGGCATGCCTGACTGTAAGTGTATATGGGCCTAGCTGTGTGTGTGTATGGGCATGGTATGCCTGGCTGTATGTGTGTATGGGGATGGCATGCCTAGCTGTATGTGTGTATGGGCATAGCATGCCTGGCTGTGTGTGTGTATGGGAATGGGATGCCTGACTGTATGTGTATATGGGCATAGCATGCCTGTCTGTGTGTGTGTATGGGCATGGTATGCCTGGCTGTATGTGTGTATGGGGATGGCATGCCTAGCTGTATGTGTGTATGGGCATAGCATGCCTGGCTGTGTGTGTGTATGGGAATGGGAAGCCTGACTGTATGTGTATATGGGCATAGCATGCCTGTCTGTGTGTGTGTATGGGCATGGTATGCCTGGCTGTATGTGTGTATGGGGATGGCATGCCTAGCTGTATGTGTGTATGGGGATAGCATGCCTGGCTGTATGTGTGTATGGACATAGCATACCTAGTTGTATGCATGTATGCGCATAACATGCATGGCTGTATGCATGTATGGGCATAGAATGCCTTGCTGTATGCGTGTATGGGCATAGCATGCCTGGCTGTGTGTGTGTATGGGCATAGCATGCCTAGTTGTATGCGTGTATGTGCATAACGTGCTTGGCTGTACGCATGTGTGGGCATAGCATGCCAGGCTGTGTGTGTGTATGGCCATGGCTTGCCTTGCTGTGTGTGTGTATGGGCATGGCATGCCTGACTGTATGTGTGTATGGACATGGTATGCCTGGCTGTATGCGTGTATGGGGATGGCATGCCTAGCTGTAGGTGTGTTGTATGGGCATAGCATGCCTGGCTGCATGTGTGTATGGGCATAGCATACCTAGTTGTATGCATGTATGGGCATAGCATGCATGGCTGTATGCATGTATGGGCCTTGCATGCATGGCTGTATGCATGTACGGGCATAGCATTCCTGGATGTATGTGTGTATGGGCATGGCATGCCTGGCTGTATGTGTGTATGGCGAAGCATACCTAGTTGTATGCATGTATGGGCATAGCATGCATGGCTGTATGCATGTATGGGCATAGCATGCATGGCTGTATGCATGTATGGGCATAGCATGCATGGATGTATGCATTTATGGGCATAGCATGCCTGGCTGTATGTGTGTATGGGCATAACGTGCCTGGCTGTACGCATGTAGGGGCATAGCATGCCTGGCTGTATGCATGTATGGGCATAGCATGCCTGGCTGTATGTGTGTATGGACATGGTATGCCTGGCTGTATGCGTGTATGGGAATGGCATGCTTGACTGTATGTGTATATGGGCATAGCATGCCTGGTTGTGTGGGTGTATGGGCATGGTAGGCCTGGCTTCATGTGTGTATTTGGATGGGATGCCTAGCTGATGTGTGTATGGGCATAGCATGCCTGACTGTATGTGTGTATAGGCATAGCATACCTAGTTGTATGCATGTATGGGCATAGCATGCATGGCTGTATGCATGTAGGGGCATAGCATGCTAGGCTGTTTGTGTGTATGGGCATACCATGCCTGGCTGTATGTGTGTATGGGCATAGCATACCTAGTTGTATGCATGTATGGGCATAGCATGCATGGCTGTATGCATGTATGGGCATATAATGTCTGGTTGTTTACTGTCTTATTTACTGTCTTAAGAAATCAATGTGGTCGGCGTGAGTTTTGCCTACTCTCGTTTTTTTTATATTTCTGAGTTTCATCCCATGTTCCGCACCAAACCTGAAACCCCAAACGCAATATCCAACACCATAAGTGCATATAAACAAATTATGTGGTCCACTTTTGAACGTATGTTGTGTTTCTATGATTCACTGGTGTACTGTGCAGGTCGTACAGCACGCGCTGTCTGTTGCAGCCGCAAGACAAAGAACATCTTCCAACACCAATTTCTATTGCTTGTTGGAACATCTTGCGGGGACAGACTTCCGATTGCACGGTGCTACCACTGTTCTCTAATTTGGATATTGGGAACAGGGCTCTCAATAGCCGGGTAAAACACCCTGATTGCACTGATTTTTCCGGGTATTTTTCTTGTTAGTCTTAAAAATCAGACTTCCATGTTTTTTAACACTGATCCAAAAAGTGTAGCGAAAGTTTTACCCTGGCGAAAACAGGGTTGCGAGATCCCGCACCCTGAACCGTCAGGATGTCCTTTAACTGATCCCACCACAGTGTGGTGACCACACCCAATCACGAGCATGTAAAATTTTCCCCGCCCTGTTCCCGCCCCTGCAAATTCGATGTCCCTCCCGCACCCAATCACATGCTGCTGATTTTTTTCCTGCTCTGCTCCCGCCCCTGCAAATTCGATTCCCCCATACCCATCCCGCTCTCCTCTTCCCCCACCCCCCAACCCCCCCTCACCTTCCCCAACCCGCGCACGCGCAAATTCGCTGCACGTTTCACATTTCACCTGCATTTCGCGTGCCCTTCTTTCGTGAAGCACCGCATTGTACCGCATTCCACTTCAAACTCAAAATTGAACTTGCTAAGAATGCCAAGAGTTAGACAGGGTGGCAAAAAATCTACACTTTCAGCTAAGAGTTCAATTTTGTTTACCCTGCCAAATCAGACTTCGGAAATTTTTTACTCTAGACGTCAGGGTGAATTTTTTTTTGTACTCTGATTCCTAAGGGTGGCCTAAAACCAATTTAGGGCCCTGATTGGGAACTCCAACTATTAGGCTATTTGCGATGGTGCATGTGTTTGTTTGATTGTTGTTTGCATTTGAGGGGTGTGCATGGGTTTGATAAATACTGTCTGTTTCGGGGTGTGCCTGCTGCTCCTAGTCCCCATGTGCATAGTGCGTGTGGCAGCAAATGTGATAAGGCGTGGATTGTGTCTGCTTCGGATGTGCTTCTTATATGCAAGGTGTTGCAATTTGAGGTTGTCATCGTGCGTGGGGCAACTCTGTTGTCATTGCGCACCCCATCAATCTCTGTTGCAGCATTGGCGCATATATGCAAACGTTTCGTAGCACTCACAATCCTATCGTAGTTGCATGTTCACTCCATCACTGTATGTATCGACGAGATGTGGTGGCTGGCACGAGGTGTGTTTGGATTGCGTTTGCCCCGAGCGTGCTGCTTATTGGCTAGTTGTTGCAATTAGAGATTGTCATCGTGTTCGGGGCAGTTCTGCTGTCATCGTGCACCCCATCAATCTCTACTGCAACACTATTCATGCCTATATGCACTCGTTTCCTGTCATTTGCAATCCTACAGAATGTTTAATTATACATAATAATTTGTTGAAATGTGTCATGCGGTCTGATTGTTCCATCCGCCGTACTTATCGACGCGATGGAGCACTTTGGACATTTCGGTATTCATATTTTGGAGTTGCATCGAACAGTTAACTAAATTCTTAAAATTTACTGTTCAAATTAATGCTCCGAAATGTGAAACCGATTTTATAGGGTTGCTACGCAACCCAAAAATCTAGGAGCATCCCCCCCATTGAAAACTCTTCAGGGTGGTACATAGGCCAACTCTGATAAATCAGAGAAAACTTATACTTTCAAAATTTTACCCAGGACCATCAGAGTGGTTTTCAAAAACGACTCTGATTTTCAGAGAATCAGAGTGATTTACTCTGATAAAATAAGCCCTGCCGCCACGGCGGCAGGAAAACGAAAGGCCGCCATCAGCGGCACGGTACGAAGTGAAACGTAAGACAAGGACGAGGCGGAAGCGTGGAAGGCCGGACCGGAAACGGCCTGCTCTGTTACCATGTCTAAATGCTAGCTTAACTAGGAAGAAAGGCCGCCATGAAATGGCGGCCAGAGGTTTAGTTAGGGGAGGAAAATGTTGAGAGAAAAGTAAGCTGGATTAGGAAGAGAGGGAAGTACAAGGAGGGGTTTGTACCCCCTACAGAAAGGTTCAGTAACAACCTACCAAGCCTATATTAAATTATAACTTATATAATTTGAACAAAAATACCCTGATAACGACAGGCCTGATCAGGGGCAGGATGATACACTTGGCATTTCACAAGTTCACAGAATGCTTACTCTGAAGGCACCAACAGTGTGCAAATGTGCACAATTAATATCTCCTATCCATAGCAGTTATTAGTGACTCAGGTCAGGCTAACATGTACCAGCTAAGAGATCAATGGCGCATGCGCAACTGTCCAAACTAAAATTGCGGGAGGCAGCAAACAGGGCGAGACAGAAAACGAGTAGGGAAACAGCAGGAAGGGGGAAGAGAAAAAGAGTCAGAAGCAGGGAGGTGGGAGAGATGGATGGGAGGAGAGTGGGCATGGGGTGGAGGGAGGAAGGCAGCGCGGTGTCATCACTGAGCGCGAAGAGTAAGAAGAGACGGGCGCATTGCGGAGCCAAGTACAGAAGTGAGGGGGGGTGTAGCGGGAAGGGCTGCAGCGCATCATGTTGACTGGAATCATACGGCAAGCACGGGGGGGTGGGCAGACTTGACACGAGCCGAGGAATCCCGGCACGTGCTTGCCCATGATTCGCGAGAGCCACATGATACGCGCACCCCTGCTGTTTCCATCGCCTTCGTCGATTCTTCTGAGGGCGGAGAGGCGCGCAGGCAGGTGGGTGGGCAGGCGGTCACATGTCCCAGAGCGCGTACAGGTCGCGCGAGGGGCTGGGGAGGTCGAGGGCGAAGGCGCCGTCCTCCGCGCCCAGGGGGAGCACGTCGTGCAGCAGCGCGTGCGCGCCGTCGAGCGGCTCCAGGTCCAGCAGCAGCGACTCCATGGCGGCCGCGTCGTCGCTCGCCGCGTCGCTGTCCACTCGCGCCAGCAGCGCGGGCTTCCCCTGCTCGTGATCCGCGCACGGCGCCAGCGGCCACTCGTCGTCGACCGCCGCCGGCTCCTGCTTCGCCACGCCCACTCCCGTCGCACCCGCTTCCAGGGGAGTGGACGAGCGAGCCCCGTCTTCCTCCGACTCTGCAGCGGCGGCGGCGTGCGCGGACTGCGCCAGCATCGACTGCTCGAGCGCCGCCGCGACGTCCTCCGTGCCGGGCGCGGGCGCCTCCGCCCGGCTCGCCTTGAGCAGCGCCTCGGCGGTGGCGGGCGGCAGCGGCACCAGGTGGAAGCTGCCCGGGAAGTTGAGCGACGCCTTGGCGCCGCGCAGCAGGCGCGCCGCCACGTCGTATGCGCGCGCGGCGTCCTCGGGGGAGTCGAAGGATCCCAGCCAGATGCGCGTGCGCTTGCGCGGCTCGCGGATCTCCGACACCCACTTGCCCCACTTGCGCTGCCGCACGCCCTTGTACCGCGCCGCCTCGTGCGCGGGCCGCCAGCGGGGGGAACCCAGCGAGGCGTCGGACGCGGCTGGGGACGACACGAGGGACGACGCGGCAAGGGAGTCGGCCTTGGCGCGGCGGGAGGGCGCGCAGCCGGCGTCAGTGTCGGGGCGAGCGCGCTTACGAGACGAGCCGTCGACGGGCGTCGCGGACGAGCGGGCGGGTTGGGGTGCAGGCTGGCTGGGGCCGTGCGACGGCGCCGAGAGTAGCGGGGGGCAGTCGGCGGCGGCGCGGCGGGCGGCGGCGAGGAGCGCATGGTGGAGAAGATGGGCCGCGTGCTGCTCGTGCGGGGACTGCACGCCCGCGGTATCATGGCCGTGCGGCAAGCCGCCGTTGCTGCAAGTGCTGTGGGCGGTGCCGGGCGGCAGGGCGGCGGCGTCGACGAGGCGGAAGAGCCCGAGAATGGCGCTCTGCGCCGCCGCCAGGGCCGTCTCGAGCGCCGCCTGGCCGTCCAACACTGAGAGAGGCGAGGCCATGGTGTAGCGCGCAGGGGGCAGAGGGTGAGCGGCGGGAAGAGATCTGGATGGACGAAAGGCGAGGAGCTGGGGCGAGCGGACGAGAGGCTTGGCGCCGAGAGACACGAGAAGCCCGAGAAAAGGCGACGAGCCGCGAGACGACGAGAGGCACAGAGAGGGGGGGGGAAGTCAATGCAGGAGGGACGAGAGCGACGATTGGAGTGGGGCAAGCAGGGTTATCGTAACCTACTTGCTCCGCTAAAAGGACATCTCCAGCCAAGGCGGCGAAGAGATGTCAGTTTAGCAGAGAAGAGGAACGAGCGATAGTGTGGGTGACCGTCAGAAGAGCGCGGGCGAGTAACCACTCATTCACGGTGATAGCAAGCTCGGAATCGCAAGACTGGAGGAGAAGGGGAGAGGTCGGGTTTATGGAAGGCAGTGGTGCATGTGAAACAGGGCTGGGAGGGCAACTACGTTCCCAAGGGGCTTCCAGGGGTGAGTGGATCGTGCCTGCCTTCGTCCGCGCCCCTTACTCCGGACGAGCGGACGAGCGGACGAGCGGCCTGTCGGGGGTTCATTGCTGACGTGGTGCTTTTAGGATCAAACGAGGTTCAACAATTGAACTAGCAATAATACCATGCTGTATCGCTGAGAACCGTTCATATTGCGTTTAAACTACCTGTCACTCATCTTTATTTTTAGCCTGAGGTTCGGAAATTCAGGTTTTTCCAAAAAGCACCGCGGGCAACAATTTGGCGAGTGGGAGAGGAGGGGAGGGAAGGGGCGGAGAGGAGGGGAGGGGCGGGGCGTTGGGGGAGACAGGGCAACGGAAAGAAGGGGGAGGCGAAAAAAAACAAACACCTGCACAGGTACTTGAGGCCCTGCTTCATCGCCCACCGCCGTGTCAGATGCTCTGTCACATTCTGGCGCGCTGCTGCCACCAACAAAAGCTCGAGGGCGTGCTGCGCGCGCCAACAACAACACTGGATTTCTGGTTCTTCTTGCAACATTGGCTTGGTTGGGAGGCTTGCAGTTGCAAGTGTGGCTGTTGCAGTTTCAGGGAAAATTCCTCGCACAGTGATGATGGCGAAGGGGTGTACGAAGTAAAACAATTTGTGACGTCCCAGGACGTCACAAGAGGGTTAAAAAAATGTCTAGAACGTTTGGATAAAATTATATATTTTCCACGACGTCCCGAAACCTGACGCGCTGCTTCGGACACCCCATAAGATATGTAAACATCAGCACGGCTACTGATGTGTGCTGATCAGGGCTCCCGCTGAGCATTTTTAGGGCGCGTATAAAGTGACCGAAAGTGACGTCCCGGGACGTCAACAATGGTTTAGTGTGGTTACTACATGTAACAAATATTGTAGACGCTATCAGAATAATTGAATGATAGTAAAGTGAGAGTACACACAAATATATCTAAGTTTTGTATCCTCTAAGAGGTGACTCTATACAGTCTATACAAACATGACAAATACACATGTTTGACACACCCCCTAGACTGCATAGGGGAATACCCTAAACAAGCAGCTCAGGGCGGCACTACTAGTCCAACCTCTGAGGCAAGGGTCTGAGCGACCGGTCAGAAGAAGTACAGACAAGGCAAGCACAAGAGCAGGGCGGCACTACTAGTCCAGCCACTGGGAGAGGACACAAGTCCAGTCTGAGTATACATATAAAGGACAGTACAAAGTCAAGGTCCTAGCAAGTGAGAGGCTACAGGAACTAGACCAAGCTGTACACAGTGCCGCTGATGATCTTTAGGCGCAAGCGCCTTCGTAAAGATATCAGCCGTGTTGGCACCTGAGGCCAAGTGTACTACGCGAGCCTGACGTCGCTGCTGTAGCTCACGCAAGAGGAAGTACCGCAGCTGAATGTGCTTCGCTCTGCCCTCGAGTCGAGGCTCCTGACACAGGAGGATCATGGCCCTGTTGTCAGCGAATAGGACCGGGGCAGAGCTAGGCCGCTCACCTAAGTCAGTGAGCAAGAAGGTCAGCCAGCGGAGCTCCTGTGCCGCCATGGCACCGGCGTAGATCTCAGCCTCACAGCTGGACTGTGCAACAGACGAAGAGCGAGTAGCTCTCCACGAGACGGCACCTGAGCCAAGGCTGAAGCAGTAGCCCTGGGTAGACCGGAGTGTCTCAGCGTCGTCTGCCCACGAAGCGTCTGTGTGTCCAGTAAGGACCGCTGGCCTACGTCCTCCTAGCACTAACCCCATGCCCGATGTACTAGCAAGATAACGCAGAACCCTCTTAGCGGCAGACCAGTGCTGCGGTCGGTGTCTGCCTGTGGCCACAAAGCGAGCCAGGATGCTGAGAGGGTATGCGAGATCTGGGCGAGTGCAAGTCATCAGGTACATGAGGCAACCCACCAGCTCTGCGTAGGGGCCGCTGGGCTCTACCAACTCCTCAGGCACTGGAGCGGAGAGCCTGTGGTATACAGGCAGAGGGGTGGGCTGTGCAGAGGAGAACTGAAGGCTGAACCTCTGAAGGACCTGGCGCACCAAGTGTGACTGAGTCAGGGTGATGGTGCGCGCAGCTCTGTCCCTGGAGATCTGCAAGCCAAGGTAACGGCGCAGTTCTCCAAGGTCAGTGCAGGTGTGTCTCTTCAGCAGCTCTGCCTTCACGGAGGCCAGCGCGTCCCTGTCTGCTATGGCAAAGACCAGGTCGTCGACGTAAACGAGGATGTAGAACGGAGTCTGGCCAGCACGAACGAAGAGTGAAGGGTCTGCAGAAGACGGAAAGAACTGCAGGTCAGCAAGCGTAGCACGCAGAGTGTCGTGCCACTCACGGGGAGCCTGGCGCAGGCCGTAGACGGGGCGCCGCAGGAGCCACTGGGTCCCAGGAGGGAAGGTGCCAGTAAAGCCCGGAGGGCGGCGCAGGTAGACCTGCTCGTGTAGGCTGCCCTGAAGGAAGGCAGTGGAGAAGTCGAGAGAGTGAAGCTCGTAGTCACGCTGAGCAGCTAGGTGTAACAGAACCCGAAGAGTAGTCATCTTCGGGGTCGGAGCGAAAGTCTGGAAGAAGTCCACCCCCTCGCGCTGACTGAAGCCTCTAGCCACATAGCGCGCCTTGAAGACAGGCGGCTCTCCAGGAGGGCGCTTCACCTTGAAGAGCCAGCGGCCATCGACTACGTTCACCCCAGGTGGGGGAACTGCGTCGACGAAGGTGCCGGTGGATCTCCAAGATGCCATCTCCTGCTCCATGGCAGCTATCCACTGCGAGGCCCAGGGTCCCGAAGTCGCCTCAGCGTAAGTGCGAGGGGTCGGGATGTCGAAAGCGTCTGGGTCACCCTCAGGGACTAGCAGCATGGAACAGAGATGGGGAGCAGCCTCGGAGAGGAAAGCAAGCTCGAACTGGCGGTCCTCCAGGACGTCACTGCCAAGGGCAGGAGCACCCCCGACAGACGGAGGACAGGCAGGGTCAGAGACCAGAGCGGTGGCGTAGTCAAGGCGGCGGGTAGAGGCGAAGTCAGCGACAGCAGCGACAAGAGCGTCAAGGCACGAGACTGGAACAGACGGGTCGGTAACGAGAGAGGCAAGGACCCGAGGAACGAGAGGACGAGCGGCACGAAGGTAGTCGGACAGCGGGGGGGGCGCAACAACAAGGGAGGACGGAGGAGGCGACGGCAGAAGGGGAGGACGAGACGCGTGTGAACGAAGCAACATAGGGTGGGAGCGCAGGACAGGCGAGGCAGGACGAGCACGGGAGGGACGGTGAGACCAGACGTGCGATGGAGGAGTCGGGTCAGGAGACAGGGGAGGGGACACAGGAGGGGAACGAGGGGGGAGACGGGCCGGGGACGAGTCCGGCGGAGGGAAAACAGGGCCGTAGACAGGAAGAGGAGGAGACGGTCGGGGAGGAACCGACGCAGGGTCGGGGGACGGAAGGCCGAGCAGGCGAAGGGCGGACACCGGTGGGGACTGCTGCTGCGGCGGCACAACGGCGACACCTGGACCGCAAGCTGCTCCTCGGCTACCACTGGCACTCTCCACACCCGCACCCCCAGAGGGACCACCCTCAGGGCGACCGGGACGAGCACCCCCAGAGTCAGCGAACGGGGGCTGCGACTGCGGCGGCGGCGGCGACTGCGGCGGCGGCGGCGACGGCGACGGCTGCAGTGGCGGCAGGGACGGCGGAGGAGGGGACTGGGGAGGGGACACCTGGGGAGGGGCGGCCGGCGAGGACTGCACCGGAGGGCCACCAGAGTCAGAAGACTCCTCAACCGGGTCCACGGACGGAAGGGGGGTGACATGGGAGACACCAGAGGGGGCGGGACGGGGAGGAGGAGGAGGAGGGGCAGGGACTACCGGGGAAGGGGTGACCAGGAACAGGGGGGGGGTAACCGGGGGACCACGGTGGGGGAAGCGGCGGTAGTAGGAGACGGACTCATCAAAGGTGACGTCACGAGAGTGAAAGAAGCGGTGAGACGGCGGGTGGTAAAAGTGCCAGTCGGACGCGTCAAGGGGAAAACCGAGGAAGACGCAGGGAAGGGTGCGGGCAGTGAGCTTGTCCGTGCTGGAGGCACGGACGTGAGCAAGGCAGCCCCAGACGTGGAACGCAGACGCGTCACCAGGAGACCCAGTCCACAGACGGGTCGGCGAAACCTGCGGCTGCTGAGGGTGCGGCCACAGGTTAAGCTGGTGAGAAGCGTAGCGCACAGCAAACGGCCACAGAAAATGGGGTGCACCGGCATGGACCATGGAGGTGCGAGCGACCTCCATGACCAAGCCGATGCGTCGCTCAGCGACCCCATTCTGCTGTGGGGAGTCCGGTAGGGTGAACGTCTGGGTGATGCCCTCCGCACGACAAAAGCGACCAAGGACACCTGAGGCAAACTCGCCACCACGGTCTGAGTGAAGACGCAAGACAGGGAGACCGCGGTGGACACGCGCAGAGACAAGCCAGGGGATGAGGGCGCCAGGCACGTCGGCCTTGCGCTTCAGGGGAAAGACTGTGGTGTAACGAGTGAAGTCGTCGACAAGCACAAGGAAGTAGCGCTCGCGACGCGGCCCAGGGACGGGGGCGGGGCCCCCAGACGTCCAGGTGCAGGGTCTGCAGCGGCGCGGCGGTAGGGGGGAACGAGGAGGAGTGAGGGGCTCGGCGAAGCCGACCCTCGACACAAGGCGTGCAAGGTGGAGCTGGGGAGGAGGGAAACGCGGGGAGTGAACCTGGGAGACCAAGGACAAGACCGTGCTGGGACATGTGACGCAGACGCGGGAGCGCAGGGTGACCTAGGCGGTGGTGCCACAGGAGGGTCGGGTGAGTGAGGGAGCGACAGGAGCAGGCAGCAGCAACGTGGGTAGACACAGCCACCTGAGGGGGCGCTCCAGCCGGGGGGGGCACGGTGTCCAGAGTGAACAGGCCGGACACCGGGTCCCGGGGGAACGTGGAC